CTGGTGAGTGGAAAATTCATGTATTACTCATGAGTGGTAGAGAAGAATTCCCTGGATCTCTGTGACACATTCCTATAGGGCTCTCATTTATTTACAAGTTCTTGGACTATATTATACCCTGTATTTACATAATTGGTATACGTGGTGTTGAGAGAGTACTTTATATTTAATTTTGTGATTCCACATTTATGTCACAGAATATATATTTTATTGAGCAAGTGCCTATCACAGGTGACACTGAGAGCAGCGAAGCCATAATCTTGTATGAACACACACAGGTCAGATCTGCAGCACACCCACACAGGTGCCCCCTTAGCAGCCAGCTTGCTTAGGGGGGTGCTCATAGGAAGAAGCAGACAGCACTGGCAGAGGAACCACCAAAGGGGAGGTAAGTGACTGCTCCTTGCAATATGATTCCTCAGTAGTGGATGTGTATGGATTATTTTTGAGGAAAAGGATATAATTTAGTGTTACTTTAAATTTGTAAAAAAGCAGACGCACAGAGAAAAACTTTTAGTTTATCATCCGATGTGCTGTCTGTACAGAAAACCTCCTTTTTTAAGGCCTTACTTTTTCCATATAAAATTTAGTTACATTTGAGATTATTAAACTGCTACTAAACCCACAACAGTAAAATCAGTGCCTTGAAAAAGTATTCATACCCCTTGAAAATTTCCACATTTTGTTATTTTACATCCAAAAACATAAATGTATTTTATTGGGATTTTATGTGATAGGCCAACAAAAAGTGGCACATAACTGTGAAGTGGAAAATGATAAATGGTTTTCAAAATTATTTACAAATTAATATCTGAAAAGTGTGGCATGCATTTATATATGTTTTTATGTTTGCAAGCTCCCTATTGCAGGACCAATAAGAGGAAAACAAAATTTATAACTATGATGCAAAAGACGAAAACGAAGATGGCAGAAGAACATTTTACTATGATTTGCAAGACCAATAGGAAGACACCAGAATAACTTTGATGGGATAGACCAAGAGGTAAACAATGGAAAATGTTTCTATGAAATGACAGACCAATAGAAGGACACAAGAACTTGGAACTATGATGCTATGGACCAATGGGAGGATGTGACAACTTATAACTATGGTAAGATAATTCAAAAGGAGGATATGAAAACATGTTGCTATGATGTGGTAGACCTATTCAAGGATGCAAGAATATGTTACTATATTAAAAAAAAGAAGGAAGCTAGGATGCAGACTCAATAACATGTTACTTTGATTTGATAAAACAGGGGTTTCCAAACTTTCTAAACAAGGTGCCACTTTACTGTCCTTCAGACTTTAGGGGGCTGGACTGGGGCCAGTGGGAGTAGAAAATGTCCTGGTATCAGTAGGAGTAAACAGTGCTACATCTTAATTGGGAGGAATAATAGCCCATTGTTTGTGTGAGTGGCAGGAATTATGCCCCTATTGGTGGTGTGAGTGCGAGGAATAGTGCCCCTTAGTTGTCAGTGGGAGAAATATTGCACCATCACTGGTGTCAATGGGTAGAATAGTGCCCCATCAGTAGTATCAGTGGGAGGAATAGTGACATATTGTTGGTGTGTCAGTCAGTGGCAAGAATTATGCTCCCATTGTTGGTGTTAGTAGGAGGAATAGTGTCACCAGGGCTAGATAAAGGCAAGCAAAAGGCTGCATGCAGGCCACAGGCCTCAGTTTGGAGACCACTGCGATAAAGCAAAGGAGGATGTGAAAACATGTTACTATGATGTGATAGACCAAAAGGATTCTGTGAAAACATGTTACTATGGTGCGATCAGAAAAAGAGAAGGATGTGAGAACATGTAACTATGATTCGATAGACAAATAGAGGGAAGGGAAAATGTTACTATGGAGTGAAAGATCTATAGAAGGATGAAACAACACTAGTTCGATATAGATTCAATATAGGAGGATGCAAGAATATATAATTATGATGTATTCGACTGAGGGACAGCAACCCATAGATCATGATCTACCAGTAGATCGCAGCCAGGTGACTGATAGATTGTAGTCTGGGCTTGCTGACCTGCCATCTTAGAGCATCAAACACAGTGCAATGCAGAGGACTGTAAAACTGGAGCTGTAGTAGGGAGCAAGAGCTGCATAAGCCAATGCCTCTTCTGTAGTGCTGGCTCTTGTCCCATGTGGAATGATACCAACTGCACTCCACCTCCTGCCAGCAGCAGGAAAGAAGAGATCTTCAGGCCAGTGTGAAGCAATACACTGGACATAATCGTAAAGGGCTGCGTTCACACTGGTGTGCTGTAGTTTACCCACACCGAGGGTGCGGTGCAATGTACCTGCAGATTTCCTGGGTTTGCTTCGCTGCTTAGCTGTAGACTTCTATTATATCTTACGGGCTTGGTGCACTTTCTGAAAGTGCACCAAAACACCTGAATGCAGAAATTTTGGTGTGATTTCAGAAAGTGCACCAAGCCCGTAAGATATAATAGAAGTCTATGGCAAAGCACAGCTAACCCAGGAAAGTTGTAGATGCATTGCGCTGCACCCACAGTGCAGGTAAACCGCAGCTCATCAGTGTGAAAGCAGCTTTATAAGGGGCTCAGAACAATTGCAGTTTTGAGTGTGGTAAAACCCCATAGTTGCAATGTGTTTTTACCACCACCCCCCTTTAGCTACAGTGCTCAGGGGTGTGCACATGTCGCAAATACAGCAGAGTTATATGCCTTGTCATGGTTCGTGGGTGTAGCACCTGCCAAGCTTGACCCCTTCAAGTGAATGAAGCTGCTCGGCAAGTGCCCTGCAACCTTGTGCAGTGCAGCAAACAAGGGGTTAAAGCAGGCAGCATTGTATTACTTTCTCACCACCTGCTTTAACATCTCATAAGCCTGCAGTTGTGGAGAGCTTGCAGAGTGGCCCCATCTATTTAAATGGGTTGTGTTCAGCAGATGGTAGCAGCCACCAAAAGCAACAGGGGGTTTAATTCCTGCTCTGGCATGTGTACACCTTTTGGCTGCTGCCTCAGAAGCTACAGGGGGTGGGGACTGTGGGCAGTAAAACCACAACTCAGCCACAGGGTTTTACCAATCCCAAATGTACTGGTGAACGAGCCCTGCAGGTACCGCTGCTGAATGCAACTAATGGCTCATTTACAGTGCAGCTTGCACTGCTGCTCCTCTGAAAAGTGATCCAAGCGTGTTGACAGGTGGTGAGGAGGTGACATGTTGACTCCTCGATACCTGATTTAAAGCTATGATTGCTGTGCAATGCATGTGATTGTGTACTATGTTAGTTAGAAGTTTAATTCAGGTGTGAGGAGGCGACACTGTGTCTGGTGATCTTTGACTTCTCCCATGCTGTTCAGGTAGATCTCCACCTGTTTAAGGTTGCCTATCCCTGTGTTAGACCTATAGGGGAACACCAGAACTTGTACCTTTGATGCAACAGACCCATAGGGTGATGTGAGAACTTAGAAATATGATGTGATCAGGGAAGGACTGACCATTTAGGCATTGCTCGAGGGCCCGGAGTCAGTAGGGGCCCCGTGAGCGGCTCACTGTCTGGTGACAATGTGGGGAGTGGAGGAGGAGGCAGATACCGGAAGTAGCTCACCTTTCACTTCACCTGGAGGCAGAGTGAGTCGGGGTCTTGAGCAGTGGTGGTTCCTTGTACATGCTGCTGATGATTGAGCTGGGGGGCAGTGGGCAGGTGAGAGGCGTATCATCCCTGGATGCAGGGGGTTCACCACACACACACCCTGCACCCATGGAGAACATATATCTGGAGCAAAGTTGGGGGATGACCGGTGCAGCTATGGGGACAGTGACAAGCCTATATGATTTTCAATGAAGCAGCTGAAAGCCAAGGGGGGGAGAGGAGAAGCGGCTTCCAGCTGCTTCACTGAAAGTGGGATCGGTGCATGCCCCCTCTGATGCACCGATCACCCCTGACTGTGCATCAGATTTCCCTTCTGCGCCCTCCCTGTGTGCTCCAACCCCCCCCCCCTATGTTTCTCATGCCTCTTCTTCCCTGACAGTGGCCAACCCCTCCCCCCATCCTCCACAACAATAGCAGAGGAGAGAGACTGGATCTGCTCTGCTCCCCTGTGCCCATCCACACTCCCTGCCTGCCCTGTCCCCACCCACACTCCCCGCCTCCCCCTGTCCCTGCTCACACTGCAGTCTGTGCAGCTTCTGAGAAGAGGATGTGTGGGGAAATTGTGTACAGATCAGCCAGCAGCTCTGTGATACTTCTGAATGTACCAGTAAGCTGGGAACCATCCATGTCCTTCCCTCCTTTCCTTCCTTCCTTCCTTCCTTCCTCCATCCATCCTTCTATCCATCCATTCCCTCCCTCCCTTTTCTTTCTTCCCTTCCTTCCTCCATCCCATCCCATCTTTCTTTCCTCCCTCCCCTTCTTTCCTTCCTTCCTCCATTCCCTTCCTTCCTTCCTCCCTCCCCTCCTTTCCTTCCCTCCTTCATACATTCCCTCCCTCCCTTTTCTTCCTTCCCTTCCTTCCTCCATCTCCTCCTTTCCTTATTTCCTCTACTCCTTTCATTCCTTCCTCCATTCCCTTCCTTCTTTCATCCTTTCCTCTTCCATTCATCCATCCTTCCTTCCTCCATTCCCTTCCTTCCTCCATCCCCTCCCTTCCTTCCTTTCCTCCCTGCCCTTTTTCCCTCCCTGCTCTTCACTCCTTCCTTCCTTCATCCACTTCCCCCCTCCCTTTTTCTTTCTTCCCTTCCTTCCTCCATCCCCTCCCTTCATTCTTTCCTCCCTCCCCACTTTTCCACAGTTTTTCTTTAAAGAAGAATCTAATGTCCTGTCTATGGTAAGGTGAACTGTTGCTATGCTGTTATTACTTCTGTCAAACACTGTCTCAGCCATACAGCTATAGTACCTGTGGATCGCAGGTGCAGTGAGGTTTTTAATACATTTTTAAATGTTTATTTGTTCTAAAACTGTGTGTGTGTGTGTGTGTGTGTTTTGTGTGTGTGTGTGTGTGTGTGTGTGTGTGTGTGTTGTGTGTGTGTGTGTTGTGTGTGTGTGTGTGTGTGTGTGTGTGTGTGTGTGTGTGTGTGTGTGTGTGTGTGTGTGTGTGTGTGTGTGTGTGTGTGTGTGTGTATGTGTGTGTGTATAGGCTGCGCACACTTATGAGTAGATGGATGCAAGATCTGGATGCAATAAAGTAATCGGACGACTCAACAACATGTTACTTTTATTTAATAGACAAATAGGAATATGTTACAATGATGCAACAGGCCGGTGGGATAATAACTTCTAACTATGATGTCTTAGACCAATAGGAGAATACGATAACTTTTTTTCCTTTAAAATTTTATTGAAACTACCAAAGGGCAAATGCAAAGAAATTAACAGTCCGATAAAGAGATACACCACATGGAGTAAAACAGTATGATTGTATGTTAATAATCTTGTACAGCATAAGACAAAAACATACCGTATTTTTCACTCCATAAGACGCACCTGACCATAAGACGCACCTAGGTTTTAGAGGCAGAAAACAGGAAAAAAAAATTCTGAACTAATGGACTGCAGACATAGTACAGGGATGACCAGAGACTGCGGACAGCACAGGGATGACCAGAGACTGCAGGGATGACCAGAGACTGCAGACAGCACAGGGATGACCAGACAGCACAGGGATGCAGACTGCAGACAGCACAGGGATGACCAGAGACTGCGGACAGCACAGGGATGACCAGAGACTGCGGATAGCACAGGGATGACCAGAGACTGTGGACAGCACAGGGATGACCAGAGACTGCGGACAGTACAGACGACTGCTGACCTTTGGGGAGGGGGGGGAGCGGGTACCTGAATTTGACAGGTACCCGCTCTTACTTCCTCGGAGTTGTTCTTTATCTTACCTGTTCCTCAATCCAGCCGCGCGCTGTCTTCCCGGCTTCTGTAATGGCGCTCGGCATGACAGCCGGGTGCCCAGTGCGCATGAGCGAGAAGCACTTGCGCTTTGTGATTGGTCCGGCGGCTTCTGGGATCGGTCATGTGTCCCAGGTACTGCCTTACCATTCACAAAAAGCACCGCTTCTTGCGCATGCGCACTTGGCACCCGGCTGTCATGCTCAGTGCCCGCACTACAGAAGCCGGGAAGACAGCGCGCCGCTGGATAGAGGAACAGGTAAGATAAAGAACAAATAAGTAAGAGCGGGTACCTGTCCAATTCAGGTACCCGCTCCCCACCTCCCCAAAGGTCAGCAGTCCTCTCCATAAGGTCCCGCTGCAGAGCTGAGCGGCCGGCTCGGTATTCTGCACGGCGGTGGTGGAAATACCGGACCGGCCGCTCTATATTCGCTCCATAAGACGCACTGACATTTTCCCCCCTTTTTTGGGGGGAAAAAAGTGCGTCTTATGGAGCGAAAAATACGGTACTTTATTACACTTCCCATCTCTTCCAAAATGAGTGGTGGCAAAGAAGTGAAGTCACGTATAGCTGGAGCTTAAATCTTGGTAAAGAAGAAATTAGGGCAATACTCCAGTGGATCTCAATTTGGTAAGCAGGACTTGGCTAACATCGGTTTAGGAGTCCTAGTCATGTAGAGCGTTGAGCTGGACAGTAGACATCTCCTTTTCTAAGCCCCTTACAAAATGCTATGGGAGAGCAGTATGGTATGCATTAATAGAGAGCATGGATATATTGTCTACAAAGAAAAGATGAAAAAAATAGGAGGATAGATAAACAGAAGCATGTAAGAACTTGAAAATATGATGAAAAAGACAAATAGGAAAACTGAAGATGCTACTCTCAAGATGCTACTCTCATTTGATAGATCAGTAAGAGGACGTAAGAATATGTTACTATGATGCTTGAGGACACTAAAACTTGTAACTAGTATGCAATAGATCGATAGGCGTATGCAACAACTTTATACAATGATGTGTTAGACCAATAGGAGGATGAAAGAACTTATAACTATGATGCGATGGACCAATAGGAGGACCTAAGTCCATGTTACTAAGATGCGACAGATCAATAAGGGAACAGGAGAACATTTAACTATGGTGCGTTAGATCAATAGAAGGAAGCAAGAACATGACATTTTAATGCTACAGTTCAATAGAAGTATGAGAGAACATGTAACTATGATACGATAGACCAAAATGAGGGTGCTAGCACAAGTTACTATGATGAGATAGACCAATATGGTATCACAAGAAGTTTTAATTTTGCCATGATATAACAACAGAAGGATGTGAGAACATGTTGATATGCTGCAACAAACCTATATGAGGACCTGAGATATTTTAACTATGGTGCGATAGATCAATGGGAGGATGTGATAAACTGTTGCTATGATGTGACAGACAAATAGACGTGCGTAAGAACCTGTTACTATGACACAACAGACCAATTGAAGGACGCAAGAACTTTTAACTAGGATGCCACAGACCAATAGAAGAGCAGAAGAATATGTTACTATGATGCAATAAACCTATATAAGGATGTAAGAAACTGGTAATATGATGTGATAGACTAATAGAAAGATGTGAGAATGTTACAGCGGTGAAAAAGACAAATATGAAGATGTGAGAACATGTTATTATGATGCAATAGACCAAAAGAAGGATGCTGGAATACAGTATGTTACTATGAAGCGATAGACCAATAAGAGGCCATAACAACATGTTACTATGATGCGATAAACCAATAGTAGGACTGGGAAACTTAACTATAATACAAACTAACAATAGGAGGACTCGAGAACTTGTAACTGTGATCCCATAGACCAGCATGAGGATATGAGAACACGGTAGTATGAAGAGACAGACCGATAGGAGGAAGGGGAACACTTTAAACGGATGCGATAGACCAATAGGAGGCTGCAAGAACATTTTCTTTTAAGCTATAGACCAATAAAAGGACTCTCATAACTTTTAACTCTGATGCGTTAGACCAATAAGGAGATGCAAGAATTTGTAAATATGATGTGATAAATGAATAAAAACATGTGGGAAACTGTAACTATAATGCAATAGGAAGGTGTGAGAACATGTTACTATGATCCAATAGAGTCTAGACCAATAGGAGTTCACTAGAACATGTTACTAAAATGCATAAAAACAACCACCAAATTAGAATCCTTGGAACTTTTCAGATACTATATTTTTAAGTAAATCAACAAATTTATAAAAATGTCCATTTACTTTTATTTTTTTCACATATAAAAAGAACTTTCTCTTAAAAATCAATATGATGCCAAAAATGAAAAAAAAATAATCAACACGCTATTATGAGGAGGATGCTGTAATGATAGACTAATAAAAGGACACAAGAAAATGTTACTATGATGTGATCGAGCAATAGGAGAATGTGAAAACATGTTATTATGATGTCAAAGGGGAAGGTGCAAAACCTTGTAAATGTGATGTGATAGACCAATAGGTGGACACAAAACATGTAACTATTATACAACAGACCAATAGGAGGATGTGAGAACCAGGGGCGGACTGACAACTCATGGGGCCCCCGGGCAATAGGGGATCATGGGGCCCCTCTGTCCTCGCCCACACTCAAACCACACCCAAAAAAGCCTATGAAAGGTATCAGGGACATCTCATGGGGCCCCCTACTGACCCCAGGCCCTAGGGCAGTGCCCGAGTTCCCCAATGGTCAGTCCGCCCCTGGTGAGAACATGTTGCTATAATTCAATAGAGTAACAGGAGGATACAAGAACTTGTACCTATAATGCACAAAACCATAGAAAGATGCAAGAATTTGTAATTTTGATGCGATGTGAGAACTTCAAAATAGGATGCGACAGATCGATAGGAGCATGAAAGATCTTAACACTACGATGCAATAGGAAGACTCAAGAACACGTACTATGATGTGAGATACCAAAAGAGTGATGTGAGAACTTGCAACTACAGTATCATGCGATAGACCAATTGTAACGTACCTGATGGTAGAACCTGAAGTGCAGTCTAAGGCCTCTCTTTTAAGCTCTGGCTCGGGGGGCTTTGGTAGAGTAACAGGGAGCTCTAGAGCACAGAGGTGCACGAGTGCCTGGTAAGACTTCTGCAGATGGATGTTGACTTGCAGCTGGAATGCAGGAGCAGCTGGTGGATGGCACACTGGCAGAAGTGCAGGAGCATCTGGTAGTTGGCATGCTGGCAGAAGTGCAGGTGCTGCTGGTGAATGTCATGCTGGCAGAAGTGCAGGAGCCGCTTACCAGGCACTCATGCAACTCTGTGCTCTGGCTCTCCCTGTTACTCTACCAAGGCCCCCCAAGCTGGCAGATGGCACGCTGGCAGAAGTGCAGGAGCAGCTGGCAGATGGCACGCTGGCAGAAGTGCAGGAGCAGCTGGCAGATGGCACGCTGGCAGAAGTGCAGGAGCAGCTGGCAGATGGCATGCTGGCAGAAGTGCAGGAGCAGCTGGTGCATGGCACGCTGGCAGAAGTGCAGGAGCAGCTGGTGCATGGCACGCTGGCAGAAGTGCAGGAGCAGCTTGGCAGATGGCACGCTGGCAGAAGTGCAGGAGCAGCTTGGCAGATGGCACGCAGATGGCAGAAGTGCAGGAGCCAGGTACTGGTAAGGATCAGCTGGTTCAAGTATAGGAGGCAGAGTAAGGCAAAGTCAGACAGTCCGGTTCAGCAACTAGCAGACAGAGCAAGCATAAACAGTAGGCAGAAGAGTAGTCAAAGGACAGGCCAGGGGTCGGTGCAGGCAGCGTTCAAGCATGGTCAATAATAGAGCAGAACGGCAATGGAATTACAGGTACCAGGATGCACTGGTGCTCAAAAGTAATAGATCAAACAGCATTAATGCAAGGCACTAGCCCAGCTTAAATAGCCCTCCTGGCGCCAATGCGTGTCGCGCATGCACACTTGCATACTCCTGTGTGCACGATCACGCGCATGCATTCGCTGATCGCCCATGAACAGGGTTAACAGGGGTTCTGTGGCTGCGCATAGATACGAGCATTCTCTGTCACCAATAGGAGGATGTGAGAGCTTGTAAATATGACACAATAGACCAACAGTAGGACTCCAGAACATGCTATCATTTGATAGCCCAAATATTCTACAGGAAACTGAGGACATGAGAAATTGAAACTATGATGCGAGAGACTAATAGGAGGATGCAAGAACTTGTAACTATGAATGGATAGACCTATAGGTGGGCGCAAGAATGTGTAACTATAAAGTGATAGACCAATAGGATGTAATAGACCAATAGACTCAAAAACATGTTACTATGGCCAGGGGTGGACTGACAACTCCTGGGGCCCCCGGGCAATAAGGGATCATGGGGCCCCTGTGTCCTTGCCCAAACTCAAAAAAGCTTATGAAAAAGGTACCAGGGGCATCTCATGGGGCCCCCTACTGATCCCGGGCCCTCGGGCAGTGCCCGAGTTTCCAAATGGTCAGTCCGCCCCTGACTATGAGTAGATAGACCAATAGGAGGAGGATGCAAGGACATTTTACTATGATGCAGTAGATAAATAGGACACTGAAACAGGTTTTTTGAAGCAATAGACCAATAGGAGGACACTTGAATATATTACTATGGTGTGATAGACCAACAGGAGGACATGAGAACTTGAAACTATGATGCAATAGACCAACAAATGTGTAACTATAACATGAAAGATCAATAGGAGGACCAAGAAAAGTATAACTGTGCTGGGATAGACCAGTAAGAGGTTTCAACCAACAATAGGTGTCACGGATAAAACTGTATGTCCACAGCGACTAGCTAACCGAGGCGTTCACCGTGACTGGGGGTAAAGAGGGAATGAGGGGGTAAAGAGCATGTAAGACTGACCATGAAACCCTTCACAGCCCGCACTACCTCTGGCCACCACTAGAGGGAGACTCCACTCCAATCCAGCTGGCTGACCACACACCGGCAGATACGAATCTTATATACAATCTGGTGCACTCTAAGGGTTGGGGAGCAGTCTAGCAATTAGCACACCCTTCTAGGATTCCTCCAGCTATACTACAAGCTAGAACCCCGGTGTTAATCACTCTTCCACTGTCCACCCACCCCCACACAAGACACACAACAAATGGTAGCTTGTCACCACCCAACAGTTTGTTCTGCTGGGCCACCACACACACACAGATCTCCATCTGGTAGATCTGCTGCTTTACAATCTGCATGCAATCTGCCAATACACAGTGCAATTGCATACAGAATTGCAATGAACTTGGACTGAGCACATATACACTACAATACAACAATCTCTCCGGGGATATGAGTCCGAGCTTAAGTACAATGAAGTCTCTTATTAATTTTATGACTTAATATCCCGAAGGTGGGCAGTGCATAAACTATGTACAAAGAAAAAACAGTTGCAGAAATTGGAAAAAAAAGACACAAAATTGGCTATTCACTATGAAATAAAAAGGAAATAAAAAAAGAAAATAAAACTTTTACCAAGATTTAGATTGGAGCAAGTAAAAAAAAGTCATATGGAACCAGCTCCGTATGAATCGCCCCGTTCATATCTTAGTGTCCTCAATTTATTGAAATATGAATGTGGGCTAGACTTTAGCCCTTGGCCAATCAAACCTGGGGGGATGTTCCTGTACCAGCCCACAGGACATTCTGTGTTCTGAAGTGCCCAATCTTGAACAGGCCAGAAACTGCTCTGTTCACCAGGACAGGGATAAAATTTCCGACACCAGCACATCAGTTTGATCGCGACAGTACCAATCACTGTTCAGCTGTTGCAATCAGGCGCCATATAACTGTTTTGTGCATTTCTCTGGGATTCTACAGAGGCTACAAACACACTTTTACATGTAGATGTAGCCTAAAATGTGTCCAATCAGAATTATTTTCATCTCTCCGCAAGTAACATTTTAGCTTTTATGGGAGATGAAGTAGATTCCTCTGATCTGTGGATATAAATCAGAGCTGGCAGACATTCCGGAGCCCTGTCCTGGTCCCCTGCAGTTTCTTGAAGCTGAAATGGCTAGAGCTCTTCTTTTAGATTTCAAAAAGGTGGCAAACTCTGGCTACATAGATGACAACATTTTATTGGCATGTAGGTGACACCTCTAGCCTAGAAGCTTGCTCTGTCCTTTCAGATGTTAATTAGTGAACATAAGTCTCTGACTGAATACTGAATCTGTAATAACATGAAATGACACTAGATCTACAATTACATATTTTTACTGATCACATCACATCTCAACTACTTGACTCTTACATTTATATTACAGGAGGATACAAGAACTTATAACTATGATACCAAATAGGAGGGCATGAGAGCATGGTACTGTGATGCAGTGGACCAACAGGAGGAGAAAAGTGCTTGAAACTATGATGTGATAGAGCAATAGGAGGATACTGGAACATGTTACTATGATGTGACCCTAAAAGAGAATAGGGGCTGCTTTGTGCAAAACCATTACAAAGAGCAGGCATGTATGACAAGTTGATTGTTTGTGAAAAAAAAAAAATACAAAATTTACAATCACTTTAAGGGCTCTGTGCAGGGAAAATCAACATCTGAATCCAGACTGGAAGTAAAATAAGGCATTACAATTACATTAAGTAAACGTTTTCCAGCATTGTGCATTATATTTAAATTGTACTATATCCATGTAAAAAAAAGTCTCAGCCTCCAGTACTACTTTAATATAAAATATTTATATCCCCCTTCCACACTTCATGCAGCTTCATGTCTGACTCCCAGTTAAAATGCCCTGTATATCCTATCTGAGGGTATATTTATTATTCTACATCTATATACTATATATATATTTTTTATTATTATTTATTTTTTTTTTTAATCATTTTTATTACTTTCACAGTATAAGCTAACCCCTTATAGCAGTGATTATCTTCAGTTTTTTTACTGTAAAGGGCTAATTTTTGTTTTTTTTTTAAACTCTTCATGACAAGTGATGACACAGGCCAATCAGCCAAAATCAGCTGGTACAGCTGGAGCATGTGTACAGCTGCCTGTCCAACAGAAACCAATCTCATGACCGACTTCTGTCGAAAAAGCATGCTGGAAAACCAGCAGCCGACCGGCATTAATTGTCACAGCACAGCAGGGAGATCGCTGTAATGACATTGCTTGTTTTAAACTGGGCAAACACTATAAGAAAATTGGATGAAAAATTCCGTACGAACAACAATTGTTCGATTTTCGTATAACGTGTACACAACTTTTAACTTCTGATTCAAACTTTCCAAACAAATATTTCCAAAGGGACATATGCCAAAATGTTTCTCGTACGCAAACAGAACTAATGATTATTTTTTAATGTGTACTGTTTCTGTACAATAAAAAATTTGGATCAGAAACCATAAACAACAGTAATCTACACTACGACATTTCTATGTCAACCAAAAAAAAAGCCTTTGTCTCTCAAGAATTTTCGTACAATTCAAAAATTCGACCTGCTGTGTGTGAAATATCGAGGAAAACCGGACAATCATTCGCCTGATTTTCTTATAGTGTGTACCCAGCTTCAGGTTTTTTTTCATTCAGCCCATTGGGTTGAATGAAAAAAAAACTGAGTGTGTACCAGGCTTTAAGTGACAGCAGGCACAGGTGCATGATAGTGTCATGCATGATAGTATATTACAATCCTGTCTGAAAATATGCAAAACAGTGTTTTAGGTCTTTTTAAAAAATGTTTTCTTTAAATCAAAATGTTGATCTCTCAGTCTGATTATATGTACCAGTTTCAACCTTTAATAGAGTATACAGTCTTGGCCAAAAATATTGGCATCCCTGCATTTCTGTTAGATATTGCACCACTTTGCCCAGAAAATTGTTGCAATTACAAATGTTTAGACATTCTCATCTTTATTTAGTTTGTTGTTTGTATTGGTATGACACAGAAAAGTGGAGAAATAAAATGCCAAATCTGATATATTCCACACAAAACCCCAAAAATGGACTGGACAAAATTATTGGCACCTTCTCAAAATTGTAACAAATAATTGCATTCCAAATTTGTGATGCCCCTGTAATTTGCAATAAAACTCACCTGTATCAAGTAACAGATCTTAATTTTCCTGTGTCCACTGTGTGCAACATTGCCAAGACGTTTACAGCCTGTGGCACTGTAGCTAATCTCCCTGGGCGTGGCGAAAGAGAAAAACTTGCTCAAAGATTGCAGTGAAGGATTATTCGCATGGTGGATAAAAAACCTCGATCAACTTCCAGACAAATTCGAGCTAACCTTCAGGTATAGGGTACAACTGTGTCAGCTCGCAGTATACGTCGCCATCTGAATGTTAAGAGATGATATGATAGGAGACCCAAGAGGACCCCAGTGCTGACACAGAAACATAAAAATGCCAGATTGGAGTTTGCCAAAACTTACATGAGGAAGCCAAAATCCTTTTGGGAGAATGTGCTGTAGACAGACAAAACAAAATTACAGCTTTTTGGTAAAGCCCATCATTCTACTCTTTTCTGAAAAAGCAATGAGGCCTTTAAAGAAAAGAATTAATTCCCTACAGTCAAACATGGTGCAGGTTCACTGATGTTTGGGGTTGCTTTGCTGCTTCAGGCACTGGATGTCTTGACCTGTGCATGGCATTATGAAATCTCAAGAATACCAAAGAGTTCTGGGGTGCAATGTAAGGCCCAGTGTTAGAAAGTTGGGTCTCTGTCAGAGGTCATGGGTCTTACAGCAGAACAATGACCCAAAGCACACATCAAAAAGCACCTAGAAATGGTTTCAGACAAAGCACTGGAGAGTACTGAACTGGCCAGCAATTAATCCAGATCTCAATCCTATAGAGCACCTGTGGAGAGAACTCAAAACAGCAGTTGGGAAAAGGAACCCTTCCAATCTAAGAGACCTGGAGCAATTGGTGAAAGAAGAGGGGTCCAAAATTCCAGAAGAGAGATGGAAGAAACTCAGTGATGGTTACAGGAAGCAATTGTTTTCAGTTATTTTTTCTAAGGGGTGTGCTACCAAATATTAAATTGAGGGTGCCAATAATTTTGTCCAGTCCATTTTTGGGGTTTTGTGTGGAATGTGTCAGATTTGGCTTTTTGTCTCACCACTTTTTTGCATCATACCAATACAAATAAAAGAAATAAACACGAGAATGCCGAAACATTTGTTATTTTTGACCATTTTCTAGACAAAGTGGTCCATTTTCTGAAAGAAATGCAGGGGTGCCAATATGCTTGGCCATGACTGTATATCTCTTATGTCTGTTATTTCCAGAGTGGATTAGATATTCTGTTCCCTAACCATATAGCTGGTTATTTATATTCACCAATGCATATACAGTGGATCTTCAAGAATAAATTGTCTTTTTTTGTAAACTTTACATATTAACTAGATTATACACCAAACTTTTTTTGAAGTTTTTATCAGATCAATCGATTAATCGAAACAATAATCAGCCAATTAATTATGAAAATAATCGTTCGTTGCAGCCCTAGTTAGGTCACTGGAATATGTTACTATGATGTCATAGACCAAGACACAAGAACTTGATACTACAATATGATAGATCAATAGAAGGGTATGAGAACTTGCTAACTGCCCCAGGTTTACATTCCCTTGAAATTTGTGTCCAGGGCTGTGTCCTGAGAGATCACAATGTTAAGTGCTGAGTCTGTCACCCAATGCTGCCTGCCACTGACAAAATGGTACAGTAAAGGTGAAAAAAGGGAGAGAGTGCAAAGGTAAAGACAGAGAAGGGATTAAAGTTTGAGGTGCGAGAGGGGGTTGGGGTCCAAAGATGAGCTTAGGGGGCATGTAGAGTTAAGAAGAGGAAGTATTTGGGGTGCAGAGGTTAGCAGGGGGATTTAGGATTCATAGGTGTACTGGGAGGCCCCCCCTCCAAAATCAATACCAGACCCTGCAGCCCGGCAGATCAGGAAAGGAGGGGATGAGTGAGCGCCCCCCTATCCTGAACCATAGCAAGCCACATGCTCTCAACATGGGGGTTACTTTTGATGGGGACAAATGCCTCTTCCCCACAACCATGGTCGGTGGTTGTGAGGGTCTGCGGGCAGGGGGCTTATTGGAATCTGGAAGCCCCTCCTATGTGAATGAGTATGGGGTACATGGCACCCTACTCATTCACCAAAAAGAAAAGTGTAGTGTAAAAAAAACAAACGGGTAGGGCGGGGTGCACACGTTCCCTACAAAACCGGGGAAGCGGTTTTTAAGGACTCGGCAAAAACTGCCTCCTGTGTTTTTTTAAATTACACTTTTCTTTTTGATGTACCCCATACTTATACACATGGGGGGCTGGGATCTGGGTCCCCCCTTGATTCTGATAAGCCCCCCACCCGAAGACCCCCACAACCACCAGCCAGGGTTGTGGGGAAGAGACCCTTGTACCCAGGGGCGGACTGACCATTTGGAAACTCGGGCACTGCCCGAGGGACCGGGGTCAATAGGGGGCCCCATGAGATGCCCCTGGTACCTTTTTCATAGGCTTTTTTGAATTTGGGCAAGGAGACAGGGGCCCCATGATCCCCTATTGCCAGGAGTCCCCATGAGTTGTCAGTCCGCCCCTGCTTGTACCCATCAACATGTTGACAAGGTGCTTTGGAGGGGCAGATCCTCTTCACCTCAAAGCACCCTCCCATGTTAAGGGCATGTGGCCTGGTATGGTTCAGGAGGGGAGGGCACTCGTTTGACCTCCCTTTCCTGACCTGCTGGGTTGCATGCTTGGCTAAGGGTCTGGTATGGATTTTGGGGGGGGACCCCACGCCATTTTTTTTTTTATTTTGGAGTGGGGGTTCCCCTCAAAATCCATACCAGACCTGAAGAACTTGGTATGGATTGGGGAAGGACCCTGCACGTTTTTTTTTCTTAATTTTTAATTGCAGGCAATTTTTTTTTTACATTCAGCTGTTAAAATACTGCATGACTTCATAAAATAACTCACAAAGAAATGAAGGGTCTATAAATTTTTATCATGTGTATTTTATATGACAGAGACAGGATATCAACCAAAAATCCAGAAAAAACACATGATACAAATGTTATAAATTGAGTTGCAATTCAGTGAGTAGAATAAGCATTTGATCTCCAAGCAAAACATGACTTTGTGCTTGCCAACAAGGGTTTCTCCACCAAGTACTGAGGTAAGATGTTTCTTGTAGTTGGTTACCAGGTTTGCACACATCTCAGGAGGGATTTTGGTCCACTCTTTACAGATCTTCTCTAAATCTTTAAGGTTTCTTGGTTGTAGCTTTCCCCCTCCAGAAATTTTCTATAGGATTAAGGTCTGAGGGTGATTAGGCCACTCCATGACCTTAATGTGTTTCTTCTTGACCCACTCCTTTGTTGCCTTGGCAGTATGTTTTGGGTCATTGTCATGCTAGAAGACCCATCCACCTTCAGTGTTCTGGCTGATATTTTACAATACATGGCCCCATCCATTGGCCCCTCAATGCAGCAAAGTCGGCCTGTACCTTTAGCAAACAGCCCCAAATCATAATGTTTCCACTTCTGTGCTTGACTGTAGGGATGGTGTTCATAGGGTCATAGTTAGCATTTTTCTTCCTCCAAACATGGAAAGTCAAGTTAATGCCAAAGAGTTCAATTTTGGTCTCATCTGTTCATGTGCCTTCTTGAGGAGGGGTCCTTGCGGACACTGCAGGATTTCAATTCATGGTGGCGTATTGTGTTACCAATGGTTTGTTTGGTGACTGCGGTCCCAACTGCCTTGAGATCATTTACAAGCTCCTTGGCTGATCCCTCACCTTTCTCATGATCATCCTTACCCCATGATGCGAAATCTTGCATGGAGCTCCAGACCAAGGGCCATTGATGGTTATTTTGTATTTCTTCCATTTGTGAATAATCCCTCCAACAGTTGTCGCCTTCTCATCAAGTTTCTTGCTGATGGTCTTGTAGCCCATTCCAGCCTTATGCAGGCCTACAATCTTGTCCCTGACATCCTTTAACAGCTCTTTGGTTTTGCCATGGTGAGGGTGAGGTTTGAATGGAAGAAAGATTCTGTGGACAGGTGTCTTTTATACACACAGTGAGTTGTCGTTTGGAGCACCTTAACCCCTTGCCTACTGGGCACGTATACCCCCTTCCTGCCCAGGCCAATTTTCAGCTTTCAGCGCTGTCGCACTTTGAATGACAATTGCACGGTCATGCAACACTGCACACATATGAAAGTTTTATCATTTTTTTTAACACAAATATAGATTTCTTTTGATGGTATTTAATTACCACTGGGTGTTTTATTTTTTGTGCTATAAACAAAAAAAGAGAAAAAAAAAAAAAAAAGGTTTTATTTGTTTCTATTATAAAATTTTGCAAACAGGTAATTTTTCTTCTTCACTGATGTGCGTTGATGAGGCTGCACTGATAGGCAGCACTGATGAAGTGGCATGGATAGGTAGCACTGATGGGCACTGATGAGGTGGCATGGATATGCAGCACTGACGAGCACTGACAGGAGGCATTGATAGGCGGCATTGATGATGCGGCACTGATGGGTGGCATTGCTGGGCAGCACTGATGGGTGGCACTGCTGGGCACAGGTGGGTGGCACTGCTTGTCACAGGTGGGTGGCACTGATGGGCACAGGTGAGTGGCACTGATGGTCACAGGTTGGTAGCACTGATGGGCACAGGTGGGCTGCACTGCTGGGCACTGATCATCAGGGCACTGATCATCAGTGCCCTGATGATCAGTGCTGATCACTTCTCTCACAAATGCTGTGACAGCGTGAGGAAAGTGCAGCCTATAACCGGCAACTGTATTTACCCGGCGATCTGCTGTGTCATTGGACACAGCTGATCACATGGTAAAAGGTCACTGTGATTGGCCTTTTACCACATCACGTGGTCAGCTGTGTCCCCTCATAAGGGGAATAAATGGCCGCTGGTCCAACGAACACACCCCTTATGAGGGGTGTCAAGGGACGTGACGTTGGACATTACAGATTGACTGGAAGTAGCGGAGCGGCCATCTTTACTAAGGTGATATCAATACATGCGTTCCTGGAAGCTGCTGTTATATGGAAATACATGCGGTTTTATTACTATATTGATTTTATCCTATGAGAGCAATCTTACATCATGCTTGAGGACATGAGATAGTCCGGTATTTTGCAGAGCTATTATGGAATGATCCTGGAGGAATTTTTGGAGATTGCGTATTTGAAAAATTATCTTAAAGGATTTTGTTTACTTTATTTAGGGTAAGAGTATTTAAATCATTGCATATGGATATTAAAAATGTATGCTGTTTGTCGCCATTGCACGGGGCATTTGCAGTTTTAAAGCATGTCATGTTTATGAGATTGTGTATTGGAAAAATTATCCCAAAGGCTTTTGTTTATTTTATTTAGGGTAAGAGTATTTACTCTAGCCACATAGAAGTGCTCACGGGGTGTTTTCACTTTGTCACACGTTTCACAGTTTTCTCTCATATTGGCAATTATTTATATTTATTTATGTTTTGATCATTTGAATATTGAGGATAATATACGATCTCGTTTTTTATATATATTTTTTGGAGGTATACGGCGGAAGTCGACCATACACTTGGATTATTATACCGAAGGAATAAAGAATCGAGAAGATTCACTGACACTAAGAGGGTTAATGGTTAACAATAAAACTGTAAAATTGTAACAGTAGAACAGTAACAACAAAGACAACAACAAAAAATACTATAACTATTTTTGGTTTTTAACATTTTAAATTTTGGAGGGATTTTGTACTTTTTATTTTTTATGCTTTTTTTTAACTTTTTTTTTAAACTTTAAACTTTTTAAAACAGATTGTAGGGTCTCTCAAAATGTGATAGCCAGTCTCCTGACTACCTAACATCTTTTGAGACCCAGTGTGTAAATATGTGCCCTGAACTGTGCCGTGCTGTACCCTATACTAATGCTCCACTAGTGTATGGTAGCGATGGAAGCAGTCCTTGAGGCAGAGACCAGGTTGGCCAGGACAGGAGGGACAAAAAAAGCAGGTGTCACGCCTAATTCCATGTCTGCTACAGACACATCTTTTTTGGGGTGTCATTTGGGTTGGGGTACCAGGAATGGCATTGGGAAAATGCCTCTCATGCAGCCAGCTAACTGCATCTGGGTTTGGGGTTTGGGCCACAGCACCTTCTGGATACAAAAAGGCCATGATGATCTCTTCCTGGAATTTTAGGAAGGATCCACTTCGTCCAGATGCTTTGTAAAGCACAAAAGCGTTATATAGAGCCAACTGAAATAAATAAACAGACACTTTTTTGTACTAGCGTCTGGCTTTTCAGGAAACTAAGTACGGCTTCATCATCTGGTCGCTGAAGTCCACCCCTCCCCTGTAAAGGTTATAGTCGTGGACACAGAGGGGCTTCTCAACAACACCAGCTGCCGTGGCAATTTGGATGGACGTGTCTGCATGAATGGAAGACAGGACAAAAACATCCTGTTTGTCCTTCCACTTCACTGCAAGCAATTCCTCATTTCTGAAGCAGGCTTTTCCCCCCTTTCTAAGATGGGTATTTACAAGCTGTTGAGGGAAGCCCTGGCGATTAGGTTTCACGGTGCCACATGCGCCAATTCCAAGACTGTACAAATGTCTAAATAGTGGCACGCTTGAATAAAAATTGTCCACGTATAAGTGGTACCCCATATTGAAAAAGAATGACACCAAGTCCCAAACTATCTTGCCACTGCTTCGCATGTAGTCTGGGCATCCGGGGGGGGGGGCTCCACGTGACTATCTGTTCCCTTGTAAATCGGGAACTTATATATATAGCCTGTTGCCCTTTCACAGGTCTAATACATCTTGACCCCATATCTGGCACGCTTGTTGGGGAAAAATTGTTTGCATGCAAGGCGGCCAGAAAAAATTAATGAGGGACTCATCAACGTAGATGTTTTGCTGGGGAGTATAGACATTTGTAAAATTTTGGCTAAGGTGATTTACGAGGGGCCGAATTTTGTGGAGCTGGTCAAATTCAGGATCACCCCAAGGACAACAGAGTGTATTGTCATTGAAATGCATAAAACACATTATACTCTCATATCTATGCCTGGCCATGGCAGCAGAGAACATAGGCATATGATGGGAATATGCAATTGTAACATTTTAGCAGCCTGGGAACAGGGTTGGGTACACCTGATCTTAGCAGGGACCTCTTCTCCATCGTCTGAGCTATCTGTCAGGGTGCCGCTGCTGTCTACAGGTTCGTATTCTGAGGCTGATTGTGTCAGGGAGTCTTCACCTTTGCTCTCACCTGACATGCTAGCATCCTGTAGGCCTCTTCACTACATTTCCATTGACATTTTGGCCACTAAACTTATAGGTACCTAGTGCAACTGATGGACATAACGAGCACCTGGCTGTCAGTGACTGCTTGAACTGCTACAAAACAAATGACTGGCAAGTGCTAACAGAGATCATGCCTGATTATGCAAACACTGTGGTTTTGTTTGCAATGTATCAAGTGACAGTAATCTACTGACACTGCACTTGCTGGGGGAAGGAAGGGTAAGCGTAGGGGCTAAACTCAGGTGCTGGCAGGTGCTGGGGATGATCCCGTTAAGGCTGCATTTTTGGGGACACTATACTAATGTGAATGCTGGTATAGTGCTGATCTGATGAAAGATATTGGACCATTCAGACTCTACACTAGCAATGGAGG